GAGTATTGATGGGAATGATGGCATATGTCCTTGATCTACTATATTGGAGTGTTATTATTGGAAAGAAATTCAAGCGTACAACACTTACAAGCGTACACGTATGCTAGGACTGTGTTTATACAAGATTTGGGATTTTTTAATTGAACTATAAATGTATGAATCATCATGGTGTGGGCCCGTGTGAATGTAACAATTAAACAGCTGAAACAGCATTTGGATTCTTTTGCAACTTGCTTGATGGAATTGTTTGATGATATATTGTTTCTGATGTTCACATATAGCCGTATGGAGATGATGCTTTCCGGGGCGGGGCGAATTTTTGTGGATGATCATAATGAAATTACCTAAATTAAACCTATTTTCTGATAAACCTTTTCTTTTGCCTGAATTTCCATGGTTTTCTAAAATTTATCAGACTGTAGAATAAACAGCATTTCTGATGTCTAAACCACATAATCATAGTTCACAAACAACATTTTTTGAATATAGAAAATAACATTTTGAGCTTCTCAAGTATAATTAAGACTGTCCAGAAATAGATAAAAGAACCCTGGTTACAAGCATGAACAGGTATTAAAGAGTTGTTACTGGTGATTTTTGCATTATTAACCCGAGTTTATACGGAAAAATTGTGATTCTCTTAACATAGTTTGCATCCCTAGGTGTTAGTTGGAAACGGCGAGCTGCAAAATGCTGCATACCAGTAATGCTTTCTCAGCACAAAGATGATGTCAAGAAAAGACCAAAAGCAGAGAGAGGTTTCAGTAAAAGTGGGTCAAGAACTGTGTTGAAAGAGACTGGTGTATTTCTTCCAGTTGGTTCAGGTATGGTTGAACAGAGACTTTTGGCATCACCGAATAGTTGTGTACACGATTGAGCATTAGTGGAAGTAAACACATGAAATGTTACTATGTTTGTACACATATTCTTTTTCAGGTGTGTGTTCCAAATGCAGAAAGATTCTTGGAGAGGCCCTCGAGGAAAGTGAAGTTATTTTCCAAATTAAAGAATTGACCTGGTAAGTAACTTTTCCTTTTATTTGAGAGCAATAAGAGACACAGTTTGATGTGTGCCGAGCTACACAAGCCGAAAAGTCAATAGTATCCACTACCAGTTGAAATATTGGTTGTGTCTTAGGACGAGGTTAAAGATACATCTGTTCCTCAAGCCCAAAGTACACCAGCTGCATTTGATCTTTCCCTTTCTTCTTTGGAGACAATGGAAAGAACCCTCTATTCTCCATCAAAATACAGGGATAGCCACAACTATCACATCCCAGGATAGCAGAGCATACAGTGATGCAAATCCAATTGATAAGCTGAACGAGTTCCTTCAGAGTAAAGATGTTAGTCCAATTAGATATCCTGTCAAGGTACCTTGGGAAGAAGCAGTGAGAGAACAGACGCCGCCACATAGTAAGTCCAAGCAGGCGCTGCACCCAGATCTATTGTCAAGTAATACCTAGGCTATGCAGTGGAAACTAATTCAAGGCACTTGGCCGAAGTACACTGCTTCATATTTTATCGGTTTGTTCAGCCTCTGTGCGAAAATCTTTGCAGGCCTCGACTACATTAGCTCTGCAGGGGCACAAGCATTTGATGATCTTAGCATTGTAGTTGATCATCTTGGAGAGAATTTATGGGGATGGAATGGGCTAAAGATCAGAAGACCGCCTTAAATCTGCCAAACGCTACTTAAAAAGCGACTTTAAGGTATATCTGAATAATTACTTACCATACAATTATACTGAGTATATAATCGTCAGTACATTTATAAAATGTTGTTCTTTTCTTGTATACAAGGTACACATATCCAAAGAATCCACCACTGCAGGAAGTACTCACTTAGTGATCCAAAAGACAAAGATTTCCAAACCAAAAGTGATCACCACCACTTCGACACCTGTGACCGTTGCGAGTCGCTGTCACTGGTCTTGAATGAAATAAGTGGAGCAGTGGCTAAGATGTCTGACAACAATGTTTCGGTTGATACAAAAGAAGAGCTGGAATTTACTGTGAAGAAAGCTAAACAAGACATACTAGATGGAAGGCGCATCTGCTGTGAAATATTAATCAAGATGAAGCACGACTTGACATCATTGAAGCTTTAAATGAAACATCAATTTGGCTGGTGGAAGACTGGGCCATGAAATTTATCCCACAAAAATACAGCGAGAGTCAAAGGGATTGGTTTGGCAAGAGAGGACTCATCACAGTGGCTACACGCCGAGCATCCGATCCTAAGCAACTGGAAATGATGACCTTTACAAGCGTACAACACTTACAAGCGTACACGTATGCCAAGACTGTGTTTATACAAGATTTGGGATTTTTTAATTGAACTGTAAATGTATGAATCATCACGGTGTGAATGTAACAATTAAACAGCTGAAACAGCATTTGGATTCTTTTGCAACTTGTTTGATGGAATTGTTTGATGATATATTGTTTCTGTTAACAGTATTGCCTGTACAACTCTGTCAGAAACATTGGTGTTAGTAGCCAAAAAAGGTTTCATTAAAGCCAGGCCATGTAAAGTATGTAAATGTAAACAAACCCTTTGTTTACATTCTGAACCCAGTGCTTTTGTTGTAGAATATTAGATATATACTATACATAATTTTTAAATCTTCTGGTTTGCTATGCTTGTAAATGAATACAGACCAGAGATTCAATTCAAGAAAGTTTGGAAGGTGCAAAATATTAATAACATTCCAATGGTCGGGTCCCGACCATTGGAATGTGGGCCTGCAGAATGCATGCGCAGAACAGACTTTACATGGTCATTAACAATAGCAGTATGTACTACATACAGTATGTAATAATATGAAACCGTCTACACAATTTATACAATGGTTCCATTAAAACTGGTAAATAAATTATTGTCAACTATTCCACAGTCTTTCTGTGCTGAGTGGTTATATAGTAATACTACCTGATAAAAACAAGCAGAAACTCGACATTGGCTACTAACTCTTGATGAAGGGCCTTCGCTCGAACATCAAATTTCTGCTTATTTTTTCAGGTAGTACTATATATAAATATCAGATGTTCATTCTTGTAGTGGACAACTGAATATGCATGCAACAATTAACAATTGTATTTGAAGCCCAATGCTCAACAAAAACAACTTTACTTTTTCAGAATATGACTACTAAAACCAAATTTTAGGTTTATTAGTAAACTATCATGATATAATTATAAGTAATAGCATGGCTTGAGAGATTAGTGATTCAGGACCACCAAAAGTAGGGATGCAGGCAAACCCCGAGTTCAAAAGGGGCCTCCAAAGCACAAAGAGTTGTGTCAGTGCCAGATAATATGTTGTAAAGTGTAATATATTGTAAAACACCTCTTCTCCCATTTAATAATTATGATGTCATGGGACCCCTGGGAAAACTTAAAGATGGGTTACAGTCCGTGCTGCGCATGTGCAATTCTTTTTGTTTTGGTAGACTACTTTTCTATTGTTTCCATGGTTTCCAGTCCGATTGCGTAATATACGCGCGATTCTATATTTGTTGATATAAGGAGTGGGAACTGGGAACACACAGTTTCGAAGAGATTTTCAACGATTTGTGACTTTTATGAAGTGAAATCCGATTAATAACAAATCACATTGAAACAATACGAGAAGAAAGAAAGAATATTACGCCAACAAGGATGCCTTTAAAGTGTGTTTATTTGAAATTCAGTCAAGCGCTTCGCCATGTCGTACATATATAAAAGGGTAAATATTTGTTTATACATTTGACTATTTCATTCTCCTGAGTCGAGACTGGATCTCTAATTCGCTGTGAATTTGTGACAATTTTTAAGCTAGGGCAATTACATTCATTTACTGTCTGAGAAAAGATGGGATCTCTGAGTTTATAATTCAACTTGTTCAAGACATGTATATAGACTAATATAGTACTTGAAATCTAATTTAATCACCTCAGGCTCAGTACTAGATTCAGTCAAGGATAAAACTGATTTCATCTTTATATGGTGAGCTGTTAATTTCAAAATGCTACTGGGATTGAGTTATTGGATGATTATTGTTTTGTAATTCATAATCAGGCATCTCCAGATGAACTTTTTGGTAGCAGCATATATTTTTTTTTACATTGGACATGATTGTACTGTATGTTGGTTTTCACATGGGACCCAGTCCTGCTGACCATACATTCAATCATTGTTGTATATTTTATAGCACTTTTGTGTGATTGCATATTAAAATTAATATCACTACTGCACTGGACAAAAATGTACTATGTTGAATGACATGGCATGATTGTTTGTGAACCTTCAAAAAATGCATAGTGTAATCTTTATAAAGGGTATATA